TTACAATGGCACACCTCAATATAACTTGTCATCAGAAAATAGTTTGCTTGCGTAAAGTGGGATGATTATAGCTAATTCATACTTTATTGTAACAATTTTAGACTTAACTGAATTCTTTGTACTTTTTCGGCAAAGCGAGCATTATACTGTCAAAATGCTAGCATGTGCCACATAAATCTCATGATGGCGCGAAATGCATCATACTGCGGCGACTTACATATTAGTTAATAAAAAGTTCGAGAATAAAATCTCCAACGGCACAGTCTACGTAAAAGAACCGAAAAGCAAGAAAGACACACTTGCGCTCTTAATAGCGGCTTTACGAATAAGCGGAAAGACATGATTATTCGGATTAGAAGGACGTTTATAGCATCGTCAATATCGAACTCGATACAAGTGATTGGGTCAAGAATCTCTTATCGTTATATAAACATTCCAAAATAGAGACCAGCCAAAAAACTTTGTAGGCTATCTTTTTTAAATCAAAGGGTAAAAGCAAATTAAACAAGCACTTGAACATTTTGAACAAAGGTCTTATGATTGGTCAGTTAGCAGCACGCACAATTGCAATGATAATCACTCGCTTTTTATTCATAAATAACTGCGAATCGTACATTCATCGGTTTGCTTGCTTGAAATAGAACAAAACGCTTAACCGATTTACATATCTCCACGACTTTAATTCACCCAAATCTAAATCAATAATCTTTTCAAGTTATTTTTCACTGCCTTTAATACCATTCCCAGCTGCCTTCTTCAAATCGGGGATAATTTTCCGATTCCATTGTTGACGACACGACGTCATGTCCTTTTCATCCACTTCTTCAGCAATGTCTTTCCAGTTTAAAGTACCAACTCTCTTTAAAACAGCGTTGAGTAACTGCATTCTTTGTTTAGTCGTCCACTTTACACTTTTGTTCGATTTTTCGTTCGTTTCCTTTTTTCGATTACGTTTGCTCGAGTTGGTATTTTCGTCCGAGGATTTGGGTTTCGTTCTACCCTTTTTCGACGGTACAGCTTGCGTACTAGTATGAATAGTTGTGGAAGAGTCGTCGGTGAGAATCTGTTCTTCGTCAACTGACTTGATGAACGAGTCGTCGGTGAGAATATGTTCTTCGTCAACTGACTTGATGAACGAGTCGTCGTGAGGACGTTTGATGCCTCTTGTGGCCATATTGGAAATGGTATGTCTGTTCCCTCAATGTGCGTGAGAGAGCAGTTAAATATAAATTGATTAGACCGCTCGATCAAATCAAATTCGGAATGATATTATCATGTTATACGCGTAAATCATTAAAGTTATTTTTAATTGAGAATGATAAAAGAGTTGCCTATGCATCTATCTGCGTCATATTAACGTGTATTTGACATCATGTCGACTGATAACATATGTAAATAGTCGTCATGTTAGATTGTTGCATCCATGCAAGATAA